GAGACGCTCTTCGTCGAATTCGGAAGGTCTTCCGCTGCGGGGCGTGTCGTCGACGTCAAAATCGCCATTTTTGAACTTCGCAAACCATTTCCGTGCTGTATAGACTCTCCTATGACACCTTCTCCGTATACGTTGCAAATGTCCCGGGCTGCTTCGGCAGCTTTTTGGCCTCGATGAAAAGCGAAGAAGAGAAGGTGTCGAAAATGTTGCTTTTTACCTCCTGGATATTCCATTTCCAAGCCTCAAAAGTAATAAAAAATGAAATTACTCAAAAAGACGATTAGCACAGTTTTGTAGAGCGGAAACAGCCCTATCGAATGAATATTATACACTTTGTCGAACAGCAAAAAATCGTTGTGAAATAAAAGAAAATATAAAAACGCTATGAACTTATTCCCCAACCCAATATTTCACGGATAAATGCATTGAAGTTGGTAGTAAGTTGCTAGTTTGTGAAGATTCCTTGGGTGTGAATTCGAAGTTTACAATTAGAAACATCAATGAACCTGACCGACAACGACCTAACGCGGTCTACCTGTTCTAAACGCATTGTTCTATGTATAATCGTATCGTTAATCCTCGTAACGGAGGTCGTGTAAGTACAGCCTAGGGTCTCGGCAGGGTCTAGGTTGTCGAGGCAAGTATGCGAAACGCAATCAAAACCCCCGTAGACGAAGCCCGAGACCGAGTAATCACGAAAACACGGCGAGCACACGGCAGGCTCAATTTCTGTTTACACCCAGAGACCATGGAAACGCGTCTGCCCCTCCTCGCACGCGTCTTCGTCCCTGTCCAAACAAGATTCGCTTCGAATCCATCGGCAACACAGCACGCACCCATTTTTTCGAAAGCGCTGTTTGTCGACTTTGAAATTTTTTTTCGCCAAGGCTACGGAGGAGAGCCGCCACGTGGCCAATTTCACCGGCGATCTAAATCTGCCTTCACGCGCGTTCTGCGAATACAGAATGATTTGTCGCAATCAATTCGACGCTCGTGTACCGTTACACGCTGCACTATCTGCGAACGACCAATAAATGCCCCCTTCCATTTTTTATCAATCCTATTTCTTTTGCGACCCAGGTTTTACTATGCTACGCTTAGTTTAAACTTCTCTAAGTAACAGCGATAATTTTTGTGACAATTTTAGTGACACCGAGAAATTTTTGAACATGTAGATTGAATATGATCCATGCTCTTTCGAGATCGAAGGGTAAGTTTTATGCAACCTGGCATAGTGACCAACGCGCAAGTGACCAGATTATTCCGCCATTGGTTTAAATAGACCGCGAATTCTTATGCAAAACAAAAATTACCTACGATAATTGCAAATTACTGGAGCTATTTAACCTAGACATTTCCATCTTAAAAGAAGTACAACAGAGTACTTTTCAATTTTCCAAGTGTTTTTTATAGACATTTCCATCTTGAAAGAAGTACAACTGAGTACTTTTCAATTTTTCAAGTGTTTTTTATAGACATTTCCGTCTTGAAAGAAGTATAACAGAGTATTTTTCAATTTTTCAAGTGTTTTTTATAGACATTTCCATCTTGAAAGAAGAACAACTGAGTACTTTTCAATTTTTCAAGTGTTTTTTATAGACATTTCCATCTTGAAAGAAGTACAACGGAGTACTTTTCAATATTTCAAGTGTTTTTTATAGACATTTCCATCTTGAAAGAAGAACAACTGAGTACTTTTCAATTTTTCAAGTGTTTTTTATAGACATTTCCATCTTGAAAGAAGAACAACTGAGTACTTTTCAATTTTTCAAGTGTTTTTTATAGACATTTCCATCTTGAAAGAAGTACAACGGAGTACTTTTCAATATTTCAAGTGTTTTTTATAGACATTTCCATCTTGAAAGAAGAACAACTGAGTACTTTTCAATTTTTCAAGTGTTTTTTATAGACATTTCCATCTTGAAAGAAGTACAACGGAGTACTTTTCAATATTTCAAGTGTTTTTTATAGACATTTCCATCTTGAAAGAAGAACAACTGAGTACTTTTCAATTTTTCAAGTGTTTTTTATAGACATTTCCATCTTGAAAGAAGTACAACAGTACTTTTCAATTTTTCAAGTGTTTCTACCGTTTTGTATTCGATCCACTCATTTTTCTCATAAATGCATAAAATTCGCGGTCTATTCACAAGTCTCGCTAACCCACAATTTCTCGTAAGAACTCATTAATTAATAAAGTAAATATTCGGTAAATATCGAATGATTCGAGCCAAAAAAAATGTTAAGAGACAAATTTTGATTATCCTGATGCCTGTAAGGTTATCGACGCACACAATCGCTGGGATGAAAGTACGTAAAAATTAAAAATTGAAATTCCTGCTGTGTCATGCGACGGCGTATCGAAAGGAAACATTAAAGGAAAACATTAAAGGGTCAAATGCTTGGCGAAAGGCAATTAAAAATAAATGCAGGAGATAAAATGTTTACCACCACCGACTCGGTTCAACGATAACCGACGGTTACTCGGCAACGCAGATAAGGGCAACTGCCGAATGTTTGCGAAACGTCCCTAAAGAGTTTCCTACAAACCACGGTCAGGTAAAAAGGATTGATTGGCACGTGCGCGCGCGTGCTTAGGTTTCAATAAAAGCTTTATCATGAAAAATCGATTGCGACGTCCTGATAAATTCCAACCGGTGGGTGGGTTAAGCACAATCTGGATGTGCGAAGAGAAAATTCCCTGACGTTCGAATTTCTTTTGCTGTATTTATTAGCGACGCTGTAACATAAACTCTCATTCGTTCCGCTCTTCTAACGAGCAATCGACAAACACTCGCGAGACCTCTAAAACAACTAGAAGTGGATATTAGATTATCAGATGAGCAAGGACTATCGATTTAACGTCGTACTCGCGGCAACGTGTTAACAGATCCGGATCGAAACCTTTCCGCGTAATTAAAACGTTTTTAAAATGCTTTCATCCGATGAAACCTTTTTTAGAATTAAGTGCGACCATTACGCGTTCGTCGGTGTTTTACATTTTCTGAAACTGCATATGAGAAAGCGATCGATGTAATTAATGTTTCTTTTCATTGGAATACGAAAGAACCTCTCTAATGAGGAAAAGATTTCGTTCGCTGTACCAATTTCGGTAAGTTATGGAAGGTCGTAACAACGAGATATTCGGGCCTGAAATCGCACACTTCCTCCCATTTTTGTTTTACGTATTCGGTGAACACGTGGTTCATCGTTTTATTGTTCCGCGTATCCACAGGGTGTCCCGAAAATGTCGCGCAATCCGGAAACGGAAGTTTCCCGAGGTCATTTGAAGCAACTTTTTCCTTTGCGAAAATTTTCTCCGAGGCTTCGTTTACGAGTTATCAACGAAAAACACTGACCAATAAGAGGCGAGCTCGGCTGGCGCGCGGCGGCCCAGCCAACGAGTGCGCGAAGCCCAGTTCCGTTCATCGGTTCGGCCGTCTCGCGCCAAATGATCCCGCCTCTGATTGGTCACTGTTTTTCGTTAATAACTCGTAAACGAAGCCGCGGATTGCTTTTTCGCTAAGGAAAAAGTTGCTTCAAATCACCTCAGGAATCCCCTGCTTTCGCATTGCGAGACATTTTCGGGACACCCTGTATAAGTGCATCTTGTTCGACGCAATCGCGTCGTAAAAGCTAATCCATCATGGCGAACGACACCCTCCCCGCCATCGGTCTCTAGAATGACGAACGATATTCGCAGAGCGATAAAGCGCAGCAAAACGTATGCGCTCGGGAATCGACGGAACCGTAAAACAATCCGATACGTGGAACCGCGGCGGCTACTCTTCCGCGAGACTATTCAAAAATAGAACGGCCGGTAGCAACGTCGTCCGCGGCTTCCGTCACCAATATCTCAGAGAGTTCTACCATATTCTCGCCCACGCGAACGCGACATATTTTCATGTACGTTCGTGCTAAATTATTTCTGTCACTCGATTTCAAGCGGGTCGCTTTATATGCCGTACACGGCGAAACGTGTAACGGAACGGTATCTCGTATGTACCTGTACACAACACGTGTACCTACACGTTGCATCGCGTCTCGTCCAGACGGCGCATGTCACGCCCAAACTTCCGATCAACACGAAAACACACACTGGCGACGGTTTTTCCACACCAGAAAAATACGTGTTCGCGACTCGACGGACGATCACCTTTTCTTTCGTGCGAAACAAACGACCATATACGAAAGACTCGATGCTCGGAAAACCAATATTCAGGATCTTTGTTGTCGCGTACGTACCAGTTTTCCCTTATACACGCGTTGCTTCGAGAGGCTGTTAAAAGCTACCTCCTTCCCCCTCCAATTCACTTATTAAGGAATCAATTCCAGGTTCCTGTCAATCCGCCAAGTTACTGCTGGAATACTGCGATACAGCGTAAACGAGAACCTACTTCACGCAACGGAACGTAACGACGGGTGATACTATCCAAGAAACATTGAAATTCACTCCGTAAATACCCCAGCCAATGCACCGTATCGTAAAATGATTAATGGAACGTTAATGTGATCGCACGACGGTAAGGTTTCTCGGAAGGAAAGAAATTCTCCACGCTCTTCTAGCATCGTAATAGAATTAGACGGACCGTCGCCAAACAATACACCGTCGATAACAACTAAAATGGCCACGCGATAGTCATCAACGTTCCATCGGAACTTCGGAGAAACGCGAGAAGTCGCGCTCGGTGAAAACGCCCCGGTGAAATCGAAGCGTCGGTCGAACCTTCGGGATATACGTGCGTATGCATAAGACTGCAGCCGGAGATGCGCACGTGTACGTGGATATACATATATGTATGTACACCTCGGTAGAGCGGGAAAACGAAAGAGCGGCCGTTCCGGTCGAAGAGGATCGATCGATCGACCGACCGGGGAAGAAATATTGAAACGGTTTTACGTACCCTCGCGTGTAATCGATGCGTGGCGAGCCGTTCCTGTTCGCAGCGTGGCCGTCTGTCTCGGCCTCGGTCTCGGTCGATCGGGAAGCGACTGTTTCCGACGGTTTCCCGGTTATATTCCGACTGCGTCTAACCGCTTGAACGCACGATCATCGTTCGAGAGCGCGACAACACCGCGTTGCCAGTAGGGCGAGCCGTGTACCCGTTCGCGATGTCCGCGTGTGCCGCCAACACTAACAATGTGGTCCTTCCTCTCCCAACGGATAACACGACGAACAGAACCGATTCGCGGTGCTAGGCCGAGAGCCGTGCGAGCGTGCACTAGGGAATCCGTGCGCCCTTCCAAGGTATCCGTGTGTTCGCGAACGCACTGTCACCGACGAACTGTTCCGCACGAACGTCTCTGGACGCCGTTTACCGCACGCCGACTTCCCTGGGGAAACACGTTGCTCGATCTCTTTCTTGAACGAGCGGTACGCGCGGTCCGACCGGTGGACAGTGGCGGATCAACGCTAACCGGCGCTGCGGTCCGGGGAGGGGTGCGCCGGGGAGGGGGAGCAGGCCAGCCGGCATGGCACGGGATTATACGGGGCTATACGGGGCTCTACGGGACGCGACAGAGCGAACGACAAAGAGTCGCGCGGGGCGCGACAAAGAGAAAAGGAACGAACGGAACAGAATCAAATTTCTACGCCGACCAATCCCGGCGCTCCGCTGTGTAGCGTGCGAAAACAACCGAACTTCCGCGACCGCGCTCGGAACTGCTCTCCACGGCCCGAAAACTCGTTTCGGTCGTTTCGACGAACGTTCTTTGAATTTCGGGCTTCGAATCGTATCGAGCGGCGAATTTGTAAATTGTAACGTCCAATAATGGCCAGGAAATTTTGTATCTTCTCGTTCAGAAGATTTTTTTATACTTCGATACAATGTTCCAAAACTGAACCGGAACTTTTTGTCGACGACGTTTTACAGATGCGGGGCCAAGAGGATTCGAGAAACAGTGAGGAAGAGAAACGATTCGGGGAATCTCGTTACTTCCACCGAAGCCATCTACGTGAAATGCGTCTTCAACTTTCTTACGAAACAATGAAACTGTGGGGATCGATCGTTTAGTTGTTCGCGCCCGTTAACATTTCACGGGCGCGAAATAAATCGAGATAGATATATTGCCTACGGTATATTTCAAACAGACCGCGCGCGTTAATCTAATTTACTGGGCTATATATTTGTCGAACTTTCTTTTAGCATTCGACGCTGTGGCGTAGCAAGGCGGGACGAGGCAAGAGTGTGCAACTGGCACACAGCGGGAAGAAATCCGGGATCAGTGGTCGAAAGACGGATCTTCGAAATTTTTAAAAAGTTAGCGGTTTTCATTTTTTCGAAAGAAAAGGGTTTAATATTAACAAATCGATAGATCTTTTTTTCTATATTTTCAAGTATTTTATTTTAAGAACCGTTATCACACATATATTCGAGCTAAATGTACAACAATAATAAATTATAGTAATATATTACAGTAGTAAATTAATCATGTGTCATGTATTTATGGATATACAGTATATACGCACGCATTGTTAACAACGTATTTCTCGCATGTTTCTACAGCACAGATCGATGAGTAAGCCGGTGTTGATAATTTGTTATGTAATGTAAGACGATACGTAAGAATTTGCCACGAAATTCGTACGATCATTTTGTTGTATCTGTTTTCAAATAGATCATGTAAATAGCTCTACCTTAAAGTGCGAACTTTTACCTTTAATTTAAAGTAAAGAATCAGCACGCATTTAATAAACATACATAGACCATACCATACAACGTTTCAAATTCGCTGTGGTTTGTCCAAGAGTCCATACAGCGCCATTATAGGTAGCGGCAGAACGCTCAAACTGCTCAAGAAAATTACCAACGGTGATAACAGTAAATAAACGTCAAACAATTAATGTTTTTCAGCAAACCATTTAATTCGTAGATTACATGAGGTGAAAACATCTCGACGCGTTTCATTTACATGATTTCGGGGGAAAATTAATTGGATTAATTTATGTAGAATTAAAGCAATTCTACATAATTTTATTTCTAAATGTTCGGGTTCTAAATCCAGTATGGCGCTATTTGAGACGTGCATATAATAAGACTTTACTAAAAATTCTAAATCGATTCGATTATAGCCGAAATTTAATATAATTTCAATTTCACATCGAGTTCTGTATGCTCCTCTCTATTTTCTAAACTCTTTATTGCTCCTTTACTTACCTTGTTATTTTTCTTTCTCTATCTTCTTCTCTTCCTAGCCTCTTCTTCTACTTGTCATATACACTAAGTATATGTATACTTAATTTATAAATTTGCATATTACTTTGGCGGCGTCGTTCATAAGTTCTATTATATAGGGTGTCCCAAAAATGTCTCGCAATCCGAAAGTGGCGGGTTCCTCAGGTCGTTTGAAGCAACTATTTCCTTTACAAAAATTTTCTTCGAGGCATCGTTAACGAGTTATTAACGAAAAACAGTGACCGATGAGAGGCGAACTCAGCTGGCGCGAGCCGGCCGAGCCAACGGCGCCAGCGGTAGAGCGGTCGAATCCCAGCTCAGCTGGCGCGAGGCGGCCGAGTCAACGGCGCCAGCGGTCGAGGCGGCCGAATCCCAGCTCAGCTGGCGCGAGGCGGCCGAGCCAATGAGCGGAACTGGGCTTCGCGCGCTGGTTGGCTGGGCCGCCTCGCGTCAGCCGTACTCGATTCTTATTTGTCACTGTTTTTCGTCAATAACTCGTTAACGGTGCCTCGGAGAAAATTTTTGTAAAGGAAGAAGCTGCTTTAAATTATCCGAGGAACCCGCCATTTCCGGATTGCGAGACATTTTCGGGACACCCTGTATAGTATGCGTATCGACAACTAATTTACAAGAAATCATCGTAATAAATTCGAATACAGTTAAACGTTCCACGCAAATGACGAAAGATAAGAATTTAGTGGCACTCGTTTCGAATAATCAATTACCAGCACTATAATTACTTCGACGCGTACAAGTATACGTATCCGAATAGAAAACACATCCGGAAACATCGTACGCTATGATTCGCATTTCTAGTATCACGCGACCGACGCAAACGAAGAAGAATTCTATCGCTTAGATCGATCGAAAAAACGAACTTACGAACAAGGATGCGTGGGTGGATGTAGGTACGTGAAAGAGTCGAAAGGCTCGTTGCAAAAAATGTACATTACGTTTATTGATGTCAGCTCGCGAAGCTCCTCGTGAAATATCGTATGGGTTACAAAGAGGCGCTCGGTTTTAATGGGGTGTTTGGGAGGTGTGTAATTGTCACATCGTAACGCGGGGTACGACGAGTATGTGTGTGCGCGCGCGCGCGCGATCGCCACTGCGATCGCGAGAGACGTCCCCTACCTAAGGAACACCGGTCTCGTTCACAGTTTCCATTTCACTCAGCTCGAGAAACGAAAAGAAATAAAAGGTAAAACAGAAGAGAGTCCGCTACGGACTATAATAATAAATTGCTACGTTGCCGTGAGCCTATCGTCGGCGCGCCGCCGTCTCTACTCGACGTTTATCATTTCCCTGAGACGAGGGATGAAAAACCACGGCTGTTCCTGGCGGTGCCAGGGGTTAGGGACAGACACATTAAAAGTATCAACCTTAGTCTCGTCCGACTGTTTACAGGCAGAACGCTACTACGGCTTGGTAATGACAGTGACCGTTTATATTATTATTCTGTGGTAATATTTATATACGTATGTATATATATATTTTTATATATACGTATGTCCTTATAAAAATATATACATACATACCTCAACGTACAAACTATATCGTACTTTTAGTAACTTCTAACGCCCCCGGATGGACACAGGGCAATTATTTACACGATTCAGGATCATTCTCCATAGCCCAGGATTACGCGTTACAGTTTCAAGAGACGTCCGTGGGTCCGCGGATCCATCGGCTGTCCTCTCCTTCATCCTGGCTTGAGCCCGACGATACGCGGTCGTTATTCGTGACAAGTACATCCGACGTTCCTATCAACTAGTTATCAACATTTATACATAATACAACCGAGATCCTTACGCGGCGTGCACTCTGCTCTGTACGCGTAGGATTGCGCAACGTTCCCATCCCCTCCACCTCCCTTATTATGTTCGTTCGTCTCGGTCCACGTTTTCCCACGTATTAACCTGGAACGGTGTTACCACGGTAAACGAACTAGTTCACGGTCTCGCTTTCCGCGTACGATTCACGATCAATTTAAATAGACTGTTGGGGGGTAAGTGACGCGTAACCGAGGTCAAGTTCGACAAGTTAAATGAGCTCGATTGCCTCGACGAGGATTTTACATGTAATAGTTAAACATATTAGGTACTCGACGAGAAATATTTCGCGACCAACAAACAGATGGTGTTCGACCAATGTCGACGATCGACGTCATTTCGAATGCAATTCAGATCGACGATTGTCGGAACGTTGGAGAAAGTATTCAATGTATGTTCAAAAGTATTCAAAGTATTCAAAGTATTCAAGTGTATTCAAGTGTATTGTATACAGGGTGTCTCGAAAATATCTCGTAATCCTTAAATGGGAGGTTCCTGAGGTAATTTGAGAAGGCGAGCTCGGCTGGCGCGCGGCGGTCCAGCCAACGAGTGCACGGAGCCCAGTTCTGCTCATAGGCTCTGCCGTCTCGCGCCAAATGATCTCGCCTCTGATTGGTCACTGTTTTCCGTTAATAAATCGTAAACGAAGCCGCGGATTGCATTTTCGCTGAGGAAAAAGTTGCTTCAAATCACCTCAGGAATCCCCTACTTTCGGATTGCGAGACATTTTTGGGACAATATTATTGTATATAATGTGGTATATATTTTGTTTGTATATGCATTCAAGAAAATATTGAAAATTCTATTTTCGTAGAAAAATAAGGAAAACAAGTAAACGGGACTCCGTGATCGCGTTGAACAACGTTTATATCTTAACGCCGCGCATTCCCACCGTGATCCGAGTGCACAAAGTGAATCTTTCGCGCAGGAAGAAACTATATCCGCCAGATCTCCCGTGATCGTTTCAGGGAAGAAATTTCTCTGTCGCGGTATTCTCCGACAGTGGCGCACGCTGATCAGCTGATTTCGTCCTGCGCGAAAGCGCGGAAGGACGCAAGGTAGCATGGCACGAGACCTTAATTATTAATTGCATGAGACGTCGGATCAATGGACTGTTTTCGAAACCCTTTGCAACTCGCACGCTTGACTCCTTCCACGAGGATGGATCGATGTTAAGGAGAACGAATGATCGGAAAACCATCGCGAAGAATTTTACACGATTCCTCTCGGGGAACAAATCGACCGAAACGAGCCAATTGTATTTCTTGCCGCGAGATCGAAAACTGTTCGTACGATAATAGGGGCGAGCATAAAAGGTTCTCAGCTCCATAAGAACGTGACAAACAAACAGATCCTAATTTGCCTGCTTCCGATATACGTATATTTACAAGACGCCTGCAAACGGACATCCGGTGTCTGGTACCATTTAATCGTTAGAGTACGCAAAGCGGAGCGCGCGTATCGGCACGATGCGAAGCGACGTGACGCGACGCACGACTAGCAACGACACGAACTTTCCAAGTCGAATGTCGTTGTTCGGTTATCCGAGTCGACGAACAAAAGTATAACAGGGTGTCCCAAAAATGTTTCGCAATCCAAAAGTAAGGGATTCCTGAGGTGATTCGAAGCAACTTTTTCCTTGGCGAAAATGCGATCCGCGGCTTCGTTTACGAGTTATTAACGAAAAACCGCGACCAATCAGAGGCGAGATCATTTGGCGCGAGACGGCCGAGCCAATGAGCGGAACTGGGCTCCGCGCGCTCGTTGGCTGGGCCACCGCGCGCCGGCCGAGCTCGTCTCTTATTGGTCAGTGTTTTTCGTCGATAACTCGTAAACGAAGCCTCGGAGAAAATTTTCGCAAAGGAAAAAGTTGCTTTAAATGACCTCGGGAACCTCCCATTCTCGGATTACGAGACATTTTCGGGACACCCTGTAGAACGGGAAATCGCTTGCTTGCGAAACTGATAACGAAACCGGTCTGGAATCGTGCAGGAGTTCATTGTCGCCGGGAACAATATTGCGTAACACGGATCACCGAGCACGAGAGAGTAACACGCGCCCACCCTCCTTCTAATCCCCTTAGCTAGTCTGCGAAGGTCTCGGTGACTATTATTCGATCAACGAGCGTACGGACCGACCTACCGCAGCGCCGAGCTAGCCCAGCTGGAATCTCGTCTCGACGGTGTCCTGAAATAACGGACGCTTAGCCTTTGTCTGTCTCTACGAGGTTTTTCGACGACGTCCAAGAGAACGATCTTAAGAGAAGAACAGTTAGACGAACGTACAAAAGTTCCATCCTATTCTGTCCGCGGGTTTTCTGCTAGCTGCCTAGACCTACGGTGAAAAAGTCTTCGCGAACGGAATATTTCACGAGAAATATCGATTTTTTTTTAGTTGTCGTACGAACGATCTTGGACCAACAGGTTGAATTCAAGGGAGTTTGAACGTTGAAACGTCGAACACGAGAGCTGCAACGATGCGGTAGTAATCGACAGACCTGCCCTAGCAGTGGCGTGTCGCGTGTCGCGCGTCGTCTCGGTACAGCGAACGCGTCCGCGCTCGCGCCGCGCACTCGTGTGTCACTTTATTCAAATAAGAATATCAAAATTATAAAACTATCAACAAATGTACATACTCGTAGAAAAAGTCTCGGGAACAATAAAACTCCAAGGTAACGAGAAAGGGGCGCGGATCGACTTTCGGGCCGGAGTCGTGTTTGGTCGAGATTTTTTCCGTCGAACAATCGAGATAGGCCAATGATAATGCTACGCCACTGTGCTATGCCCATAATTGCTCGCTTGTTTACGGACGCCTCTGCCTCGGGACACGTTTAAACGTTCTGGACGTGCAAGGAACTCCCGGCTGGCCGGGAGAACTGACTCCGATAAACGTAAAAGTTGCCTAGTCTCACTCTGCTGAACGCGAGTACCGTTAGCGGTTAAAGTAATAATAACTACGTATCGATAACATAAAATATACAACCTACCGATCATAAATGACACGCGACAACCGTCGAGTGTGGCCCGAGAAAATAAATCTTTAAATAATAATAAATAGACCGCGGTGTGAGCACCGCGGCCCGATAGTAAACTTTGCTAACTCTCGCAGAGTATCGATAACGTAAAAACATCAACAACTCTGGTACACCTTGGATCGTACCGAATCCCGCTTTTGTGACGAAAAACAACAAGGACTGAAATTTTTCCGTGGATTCCTCTGGCAGCCAACTCCCGATGTCTATATGTACAGGATGTCCCAAAAAATGTCTCGCAAACCGGAAACGAGACGTTCCTGGGATCATTCGAAGTAACTTTTTCCTTAGCGAAAATGCAATCCGCGGCTTCGTTTACGAGTTATTAACGAAATAATAGCGACCAATGAGAGGCGAGTTCGTTCAGCGCTTGGCGGCCGAGCCAACTGAGCGCACGAAGCCCAGTTCCGCTCATTGGCTCTCGACCGCCTTGCGCCACAGCATATGAGCCGTTTATTTTGAAAGTGGCATAAGTCACTTTTTTTTTTTATTTAAATAAAAAGATACCGTTCGATTGTAATTAGTGTTACCATTAACTCGATTTTTTTGAAAAAGTGACTTATGGTCATTGGTCACTCTTTTTCGTTAATAACTCGCAAACAAAGCCGCGGATTGCATTCTCGCCAAGGACAAACTTATTCAAATTACCTCAGGAACCTCCCATTCTCGGATTGCGAGACATTCTTGGGACACCCTGTATAGTCAGGTCTGACGATCAGCGACTACTCTACCAAATAAATACAAAAACGTCGGGAACCAACGAACGTACGAACGAACGAACGAACGGACGTTCCAACCCGAAAGTCAACGTTGGTTGCGCGACGACGCCGTCGTTTCGCGTGGTTTGAGCTTTGGTCGACGAGGGACCATGTCCAACGCGTTTGTGCTTATTGTTAGAGAACTAGAACAGAAATGAAAAAGGAGAAAGAGAAAGTCGGCGTGGAAATTTTTGGCGCACGGTTCTCTCACCGACGACTGCATCTCGAGGGTAACTTTTCTTCTGCACCGGCTACGGTGCCCGTGTTGGAAATCACGTATGGATACGTACGCATCCACCGTACACGTACATAGTACAGCTATTAGTACATCGGCTGCTTTCGCTTTCGTTTCAGCTGAAATGCTGCGCATCGCGCCGTACAGTGTTCTCCCGTTACAATTTCCGTCGATTTTTCAACCCCTTTCCCTTCCACTTCTCCCGGAGCTCTATTCGATTCGACCGGCTGTTTCGAACCTACGTTGAGTATTTTTTTTCGCGGCTCAATCCGAAAATGAATGTTGAATATCGCAACGAGAAAACACCGTGATTACTTATGATTTGCTTACGATTTGCTTGTCGTCGAAAGGTGTCGCAATCTAAATAATCGTCCGCGGTATATCACTGTTCGTCAGAAACGAGCTAAAACTCTGAGAGATGCGAATTCGCGCGTGATCGTTAAGTGTTCTTTCCCTGTGGTCAATGGAAGAATCGGTCAAAGCGATCGGATTTTCAGCTGGTTCACTAAAAGCGTACCCTTTCTCTCTTTCTCTCTCTCTCTCTCGCTCTCGCTCTCTTTGTCTCGACACGCAACAAATCGCGGGGTATCGTGTCGCTCGCAGAGATCGAACAAGTAAAATGTTCGTATAAAAAAGAAGATTGACGTTTCCGGAGAGTAAAACGGACACGCTTATCGCGTCGATTCGATTGCGTGCCAAGCTGTATAATACAATAAATAGTCTACGGTAGAAAACGGTGCGGTGTTGTGTGCGACGCAGCTAAATATCGTCAGACCTCCGACCGCCACGGACCTGCATGGGCCCTTCTAGGACCTACACGGTCCTCGTTTCCGAACCGATTCGAGTCGAAATCGTTGTACATACAATATCAACAACGTAGAAACTGTCTCGGAACGAAATCCTATCAAATCGGATACAATCAGAGCGATAGCGAACCATGCGCGTACGCTCGGAGGTAACGGCGCAGCGAGAAGATGCTCGTCTCTATATCGGTTCAGGCCGGCTACAGTCGACGACAGTCTACAGGATGTCCCAAACATGTCTCGCATCCGAACATGGCGGGTTCCTCAGGTCGTTTGAAGCAACTTTCTCCTTTACAAAAATTTTCTCCGAGGCACCGTTAATGAGTTATTAACGAAAAACAAGTGACCAATGAGAGGCGAGCTCGGCTGGCGCGAGGCGACCGAGCCAACGAGCGGAACTGGGCTTCGTGCGCTCGTTGGCTCGGACGCCTCGCGTCAGCCGAGCTCGCCTCTCATTGGCCAGAATTTTTCTTTGATAATTCGTAAACGAAGCCTCGCAGAACATTTCTGTTAAGGAAAAAGTTGCTTAGAATGATCCGGAGAACCCGCCACTTTCGGATTGCGAGACATTTTTGGGACACCCTGTATATAGGGTTCAGGTCTTCGTACGGTTAACCAAATGAATCATCAACGAACAAACGAATTGGTCGTTTCAAGCAAAACCTCGAATCTCTCTATTCTTCGCAATCATTCTCAGCGAGTTCGAGGATAGAATAATGTTTCGCAAATCTATTCGCCTTTTTTGTTATTATCGGCCGCTCGGCTGAAACCTCTCTTCACCGTTACCACCGAGCATGCGTGTTCTACGTCACGCATTGCAACGCATTGCAACGTATGTACGTACGCGTGAGCGTGTGTGTCGTTCAGCGGCGATACATTAGAAAAAACTGTCGACAGTTAAAACTTTTCACGTTACGATAGAATATAGATTACACGTTGGCTAATCGTTACTCTTTACGTAGTAAAAAATCCGTTAAGCTACACGGGTCTACGACAAAAGTGTATCAAATTCTTATTTCTTTTTTTTTTCTTGTTTCCGCCTCCTCTTCTTTTTTTTTAATAGACACCAGAGACAGTTGTATACACGAATATAGTACTCGCGGGACACGATCGTTCGATCCGACCAGCAAGCTGTGCCAATCGATGCCTTAGATCACCCGTTAAAATAACTCGGTCGGTTTCCCGTTTGTTTCTTTCACTGGTAAAAAAAAGCTCACTACCGTTCCGATGCCGTTCATAAACAACCAATGATATTACTAGCCGTCGTCGCCTCGACGGTCCGGTGGATTCGACGTGGACTGTCGCTTGTCCAAGCTGCGCGCTGACAGCTATGGCAGACCAACAACGGTTACGGTTACGCGAGCTAGCTAGTCTCTTTGATCCTTCCGAGCATCCGATGCGATGCTCGGTATCAGTTTCGATATCGGTATATTAGTGTCAGCGTCAGCGTCAGTATCGGTATATCGATATCAGTATCGGTACAGTATCGTTTCAAAACGGTTTTCCATCATCCTTTTTCTCCGTAGCTAGCTCTCAGCGCGGAATCGATGGTTACAATCGTTCCATCGACGAGCTTTATCCGTCTTCCTATAATCATTGCCCGCAATCTTACTCGGCGCCGCTCCTATTGGCGGAAACTACGACGACGAAATAGAAGTGTGTGCGTAACGGTGAAACAACTAGCATCTTGTAACCGCCTGCCTGTCTTGGATTTTTGCCTCGTGGTTCTTTGGCCGTCAACGGACGCGGCGGGTTCGCGCGTAGCTCTCTCGAAGAAGGAGCGAAAATCGTTCGGGGACGAGACTTTTTTGAAAAATACGGGAGCGAGATCCTCGCGACACCCTCTCGATGGTTTTTCCCCTGCAACGGGAAACCGGTCTCTTCGAGGAACAGCGAATATTCGGGTCGCGAAATCGGCCGATGACCTTGCGTCGAGGTCGAGGATAGCCGTGAGCGGTGACAACGCGACTGGAATGTACGGTACCAGCCAGGTGTCTTGTCGCCGCTCACATGTTGTACGCGACGTAAATGGGATCGAGTTGATCCGCCAGAAAACCATCCCGCAGGTGCATTCGTTGCTTTTCGCCGCGCGAGTTTATCGGGACCACTCCGGGATCCACTACCACCACCACGCCCACCACCAAGTGGTGCTCCTCGAGAACGGCGCTGGTCACCAAAGCCACCAGATCCAGAGCCTCGCTCTCGCTGCCGTCGAGCTCCACCACGACTACCAGCAGGTTGGTCCACGTGAACACGGCGCTGCAAAATGGTGATCGTTTTTCAGCGGTTTTGTAAAAAAGAATAGCGGATAAAAAAAGGAAAAGCCAGAGTCGGCTGTACCACTCACCATTCCGCGATCTTCTTGTGACATCTCATCACGCTATTTTCGATGTCGATCGGATGATACCGCATTCCTCTGAGTAGAATAGCTTCGTCCAGGGCGCCAACGACGAAGACAGCGTCGTGTAACTCGGCGTCGCCGGGAACGAGATCCGCTTCCGCCGCGGACGTATCGCCGGGGACGTCGCTGATCACTGACTGCTGTACGCTCTCGGTGCGCCTCAAGAAACCTAGGTAACCGGTTCTCGCGTACACCTCGTTCGTGTTTCCGGTGACGAGGCGAGCGTTGAAGTGATCCGCGTAATCGCTCTCGTCCCCGTAGATCGTGAAGTAGCCGCTAGCGTTGTGAGCCGACTGCACCCATATCTCACCCAAGTGGGAATCTCCACATTGTCCTTTAGTCTCAGGATTCGCGATGATCACTTTCACTCCGGGCAGCAGCTTTCCCGATTCCATCAAGCACAAAGAGTGCGGACTGCCCCTTTCGACCAAAGACACCCGATCGTTTCGCAGAGCTCTGAGGTCCACGTATACCGTCGATGGTTCCGGACTTGATGCACCCTGTTTCGGAACAAATAATTTCGTAATAATATTTCCAACGACTTAATATTAGGGTGTCCCATAAGTTCTTTCCTTTTTTCTGATGCGAAATGATCACACGATATTTGTTGTTTAAGGTTGATTTATTGAGTTATATATGAACCGTTCTGCTCTACTACCTTGTTCCATCTTTCAGGAAGCCTCATCATGCCGTCTTTCCTAGATTGTTGAGGTTTATTTGCAAAATATTGATCAAGGTGCGTTTTTATTTCGCTTACAAATTTAAACCGTTTTTCACGGGGAGAATTTTTTACAAGAAGAAGTAATAATCGAATGGAGCAATGTCTGGGGAATACGGAGGATGAGGTAGAACGTCCCAAGCAAACTGCAATAATTTTTGTTTTACGACCAACGCAACATGCGGTTTTGCGTTGTCGTGATGAAAATTTGACAGTGTGGAACTTCGAAGCGATTCACATATCCCATCTGGATTAAATGCTTATGTACCGTTGTTCTGGGTATGTTAGTGACATCTGCTATCTCGCGCATGCTATATCGCGAATTTGCAACAAGCATATCTTTGGTAAGGTCCACGTCCGTCGTTGTTGGACGGCCGCTGCGGTCTTCATCTTTCAAATCATAATTGCCAGCTCTGAATCTCTTAAACCAATCGCGGACTGTCCTAATAGTCGTAGAATCATCACCGTAAACGGTACAAATCTCGTTTGCAGTGTCCTTTGCCCTATCACTTTTTTGTTAAAGCAA